TCACTCTGTTGCCCGGGCTAGAGTGAGTGCCGTGGCGTCAGCCTAGCTCACAGCAACCTCAAACTCCTGGGCTCAAGCAATCCTTCTGCCTCAACCTCCCGAGTAGCTGGGACTACAGGCATGCACCACCATGCTTGGCTAATTTTTTACACATATTTTTAGCTGTCCAAGTAATTTATTTCTATTTTTAGTAGAGACGGGGTCTCTCTCTTGCTCAGGCTGGTTTCGAACTCCTGAGCTCAAACAATCCACCCACCTCGGCCTCCCAGAGTGCTAGGATTACAGGCGTGAGCCACCACGCCCGGCCACATATTCGATCTTTAACGAAAGAGTGTTTCATACTGGCCTCCTTTGAAATATGATCAAATAGAGTTTTAACTCTCTGAAAGCATTATCATTTTCCTAGAAATGTCACTCCGGAGTCAGCACTGACTATCCTTCGTGAACATCCTGCCTTCCCAAATGAAGAATGAAAAGCAAAGCTGCTCAAACTTTAGTATACACAAGAATTCCTGGAGTGGTAGTTAAAACTCAGACTCCTATTTGGTATATGTTTACAATGGAATATTACTCCATCATAAGAAACGACAGTGATCTAGCACCTCTTATACTTTCCTGGATTAAACTTAAGCCCATTATCCAAAGTGGGGCACCACAAGAGCAGTAGAACGGGATCCATTTGTACTCACTATCAAATTGGTACTAACTGATCAACACTAGGTTGATCACATGGCAGAAATACTCTCTAGGGATTAGGGGGATGGGGGGCCAAATCTACAACTAAAGGACACGGGGAGCACTAAAGGGAGGGAAGGGCATAGCTTTAACCCACATTTGGGTGAGGCAAAGACATAAAGTGTAACTCCAATGTCTGTACCCTCTCAAAATCCTGGAATAATAAATAATAAAAAAAAAAAAACTCAGACTCCTGGGATCTACCACCACAAATTCTGATTCAGTAGTTCTGGGGTGGGGCCCAATAATCTGCATTTCTAATAAGTTGCCACGTGACACTGATGCTGCAGAATCTTGAATTAAATCTTGGAAGTTGTGGGATGCCCATTTATAACACCTTACATGAATTGTGGTAGTAGGTAGAGTGAAACAGGAGACAGCTTATTTTAGTAATAGAGAAATCGGTAGTTCATGCTGATATTTTCAGATTAATTATGGGTGCAGTAAATTCCTGTGTTCAGTCTCTAATATATGAGTTCTTTACTGAGCTATCAGATTTTCTTTTCTCCTTTATATATAATATGGACATACCAGTTACTACATATCATGCTTTGTACCATCACACCAGACTATATGCTTAATGAAAATGAAGCCAAAGCTCTGAAAAAAAATTATATCCTATATCCATCTGTGGGTCCTTGTTTCCTTTAAGCTTTGCGGAATTTCAGGTGTGACTTGTAACTTTGCTAATGTCACTCAGAATGTTCTCATTTTCCTTGAAGATTTAGGCATGTTAAAATGTTCTATCTATAACAACTCTAAAAAAAATACTTTTATATTTTTGAACTAACTGAAACAATTATTTCACACGTGATGCACATTAAATTGTACATCAGGTATAAAGTACTAGATGATTTCAGAAAAGCCCCACAAAAGGATACTTAAGTTCTTGGCAGGACATTGAACAATTTTACTTTAAATGATTTCATTCATTTCTAAAAGGCCTCATTTAACTTGCCATGTTTTTTACATAGCCCATGAGATTGCATTTGTCTTGAGTCCAATCTACGTTATTGTTATTTTTACTGCAGTCTTTACCTCCTCTCTTTTTCTCCCTTACCTGCCCTATGCAAAATGCAATACAATTACCCAATTTTGTACATAAAGGTAAGACTAATTAGTATGCAACAAGTAGCTTGGATGACATCGAAGGCTGTGGTGACGGCTTAAACTAGAATCTGTTTTGAGGTGCAAGGACAGAAATCTTCATGCATTTTGAAGGAGTTTGGTATGTGGAATAACTTTTCTCTGCTATTCATCTAATTTCATTCCATAACCTTTGCCCTAGGCTATGAGTGCATGAAAACAATCTAGCATTGTTGCCTCCCTTTGCACAGAGTTCCATCTGCGCTTCCACTGTTCATGTATTTTCACAGTTGAATTCTTCTCTCTCCAAAAGAGCGAGCCACAGGCACCGAGGCACAAAGATAGTGGAGCCATTAAAATTTATGCTTTTAGAGATATTGAAGTAGCCTTGATCAGACACTGACAAAAGAGATGATCTTAGGGCATAGCATAGTCTTTAATAAATTTTCACAGTGAATCTTTGTGTGAATTTGATAAGAGATTGACTAAAAATTAAAAATTTTAAGTACACATGTATGTGTTGATAGGCATGGAAGTAGAAATGCAAATATGGTCACAATAAATTATTATAGAAAAAGAAAGCTGTAAAATACCATAAAATAAATCTCATTTATGTAAACATATATGTTTATGAATAAAAGCCATCTTAGAAGGATAAAAAATAAATAATGAAAGGGTGAAGTACTTTGATTTTCTCCTTTGTTTTCATGTTTATGTTATTTGGATTTCCATCATGAAGAGGAATTAATTTTTTTTTTTTGAGACAAAGTCTCGCTCTGTTGCCCGGGCTAGAGTGAGTGCCCTGGCGTCAGCCTAGCTCACAGCAACCTCAAACTCCTGGGCTCAAGCAATCCTCCTGTCTCAGCCTCCCAGGTAGCTGGGACTACAGGCATGCGCAATCATGCCCAGCTAATTTTTTCTATATATATTTTTAGCCGTCCAATTAGTTTCTTTTCTATTTTTGGTAGAGATGGGGTCTTGCTCTTGCTCAGACTGGTCTCAAACTCCTGAGCTCAAACGATCCGCCCACCTCGGCTCCCAGAGTGCTAGGATTACAGGCGTGAGCCACCGCGCCCAGCCGAAGAGGAATTAATTTTATAAGCAGCTAACCAAAAAAGAATTTCCATTTGGGAGAAAAATCCCTATCTATATCTCAAACTAACACTTAAGTAGGGGAAACCTGAATCTGGCAGGGAGGGTCTTTCCCCAACTCTTTTTGGACTTACACTCACGGGGCAAGTACCCAACACTCTTCCTAAGGGCAGTGTTTCCTCAAGGTTTACTCTTAGCACCACTCGCCTCAGAATCACCTGGCTGTAGATCTCATGAATGAGCATCTCTGGAGGGGGAGCTGGGATCTGCTGGGATCTGCATCTTTAACAAGATCCTCAGGTGATTCTAATTCTAATGAACGTCACAGTTTAGGGAGCACTGCAATAGGGCATCTGTCCTGGAGACAGTCAGAGACAAACAGAGCAATTAATGCATGTCTCCAACCAAGAGCTTGGTGCCCTGTCTCCTTGAATCATGTTCGCGGTGGCTCACGCCTGTTCACAAAATGACAAAATTAATTAACAACACATTTCCCAGAACATATCCTCATAGTTAAGAAACGCATGACTGTCTATGAAGGGAGGAATACGTTTGGAACTTTGAATACATTGGTAACTATTTTGGCGGGGTGGAATCCAAGAATGTTAGACTGTTAAACAGCGATAGGCAACAATGTCCCTTGGTGAAACTTTGCTCTGTGCTGACCTAACTCCTAACTGCCACAGAATTATATTGGTAAACCAAAGTGGACACCCAGTCACATCTTCCCATTTGCCTGGGGCATGTGGGAAAGAACTTAAACCATACCCAAATAGGATTCAGACAAGTACTGCACTATAAATGGATTGAGGGTCCCTGAGGATCAGATTGGAGAAAGAAACCAGAAGGCCACCTCAAGAAACAACCAAGAGTAAATAAGTTGGGTTGATTGGGTCATTCTGAGCAGCAGGTTTAGGATAGCAGAGTGGACATAGGTTGTAGATACAGTGTGAGGCTATATCTAGTAATTTCACACCTCAAACCTCCTCATGTCTACTATGTCATCATGGGTCTTAGAGACCTGTCAAGGAACCCTCTCCTGAAAGACACGCTCCTTATAAGTGGAAGATATTCTATTGCCAGTGCAAATGACAGAAGAAAGCTAGACGCCAGTGGCTCAGAGGATACTGTCACTGGCCCACAGTTTGCAGAGCAATAGATGTCAATAGAATGGAAGGAGAGTTCTAGACTAAGGAGATGAGAGAAGAAAGACTCCAGGTCGTAACCATCTCTGGTTATATGAGAACACCCTTCTCACTCCATTTAAGGACTTCTAGAGGGAATATCTGCAAAGAAGTTCTAGAGAGAACAGAATTCCTGTTCCAGGTCATCAAACAAATGGAATCCTCAAGTGGTAAGATGTGG